GGAACATGATTTCCAGGTTCCCAGGACGCCCAAAGATAGCCCCCAGAGGCCCGGGACACGCCGAAGATGGCCTCAGGACGGCCGACGACGCCGCCAAAACGCTCCAAGAGCGCCTCCAGAGGCCCCTCCAAAGGACCCCAGAAGCCGAAAATTATAGACTTTCCAATGGTTCTTGAAGCATTCTTGCGCTCTCCCATGTTCCGCCTCCCCACGGTCCCGGACCGCGTCAGAGGCCCTTCAGATCGCTCCAAGACGGCCGAAGAGGCTCCCAAGAAAGCCCAGAGACGGCCCAGGAGGCTCCCCAGATAAGTCAAGAGGGCCTCGAGAGCGCCCCACGAGAGCCCCAAGAGCGACCCAAGAGGGCCCGAAGAGCGCGACATTTCGAGGTCTCCGGCCTGAGAGGCTCCTAGGACGCCCCCGGAGGCCATCAAGAGGCTCCCAAGAAGCCCCGTGAGGCTCCCAAAAGCCTCTCCGAAAGCTCCAATAGGCCCCTTAAGGGGCCCGCAGGGAAGCCCCCTGCGGGCCCCTGAGACACTTCGGTAAATCGTATTTCCCAGATAGCTTTCCGGGAACATGATTCCTTGGGCTTCCGCCCACCGCCCGAAACATGTTTCCAATAGGCTTGCCGACAAGGCCAAAAGGCGCCCCTCGGTAAGCCCCCAGAGGCCCCCCCGTTAGAGAGCCGAACAAATCATGCTCCCCGAAAGCTTCCCGGGAATCGGGAACATGATTCTCTATCTCGGAGTAGGCCCGGGAGGGGGGGCGGGCCGCTGCCTGTTCCCCCCATCGGTGCCCACCAAGGGTTGCGGGGGGGGTCCGGAGCTCCCGAGGCGGCCCGAGCCCGCCACGAAGCAGGCCACGACAGGCTAGTGGGGGTCCCGAGAGGGCCCTAGACGGTCCCAAGAGGCTCCGAAGACGCCCAAGATGCCCTCAAGACAGCCGACGAGGACTCCAACACGCTCCAAGACGGACTCAAGAGGCTCCCCAAGAGGGCCCTGGAAGGCAAGTTTCATTCGTTTTCCGAGTGTTTCGGATTTTGGCGTTCTTGCTTTTCCCGCTTTCCAGCGCTCCCTTCACGGCCTCGGAGACCCTTCAGATCGCTCCAAGAAGGCCCATGAGGCCTCGACGAGGGCCCCAAGACGGCCCAGGATGCTCCCCAGACAACCCAACTATGCCCCAAGAGCGCGCCAAGAGAAGGCTCAGAGGGGTCCCGAGGCGGCCCGGGCCCGCCCCGAAGCAAGCCACGACAGGCTAATGGAGGTCCCGAGAGGGCCCTAGACGGTCCCAAGAGGCTCCGAAGACGCCCAAGCTGCCCTCAAGACGGCCGACGAGGACTCCAACATGCTCCAGGACGGACTCAAGAGGCTCCCCAAGAGGGCCCTAGGAGGCAAGTTACACTAGTTTTGCTGATGGTTTTTGAAGGATTTAGGCGTTCTCGCTTTCCCCTCTTCCCAGCGCTCCCTCACGGCCTCGCTCGGAGGCCCTTCAGTTCGCTCCAAGACGGGCCACGAGGCCCCGAAGAGGGCCCCAAGACGGCCCAGGAGGCTCCCCAGATAAACCCAACTATGCCCCAAGAGCTCCCCAAGAGAGGGCCCAGAGGGGGACCGCCAACCAATATTTCGAGGTCTTTGGCCCTAGAGGCCGCCTGTAGGCCCCCGGAGGCCACCACGAGGCTCCCACGAAGCCCCGTGAGTAGCCCAAGAGGCCTCCAAGAAGCCCCACGAGACCCCCAAGAGGCTCCCAGGGAGCGCCCAAGAGGCTCCCCAACACACCCCAAGAAATCATGTCCCCAGAAAACCTTCCGGGGACATGGTTCATCATGGGCCCGAGAGTTTCTGGAGGCCCCCAAGGGGCCCCCAGGGAACGCCCAAGAGACCCCCCAACACACCCCAACAAACCATGTCTCCAGAAAGCCTTCCGGGGACATGGTTCATCATGGGCCCGCGAGTCTCCGGATGCTTCGAAGTACCATCATGCTACAGGAGAGCTGTCTGGGAAGTTGATTGGGAACATGAAACTGATCGCCTTCTCGCGGCCCTCCGCAGATGGTTTCGCACAAAGTTGCCCCAAGTGCCCTCTTGAACCGACGACGACGACGACGAAACGACGACGACGACGACCACGACGACGACGACGACGACGACGACGACGACGACGACGACGACGACGACCATGACGACGACGACGCGACGACGACGACGACGACGACGACGACGACGACGACGACGACGACGACGACGACGACGACGACGACGACGACGACGACGACGACGACGACGACGACGACGACGACGACGGCGCGCCCCAATAATTAGGCGACGACGACATTACGACGACGACGACGGCACGCCCCAACAGGCTCCCCAAGACGCCCCCAAAACCATGCTCCCAGAAGGCCTTCTGGGAACCCGATTCATACGGCCTCCGCCCCCCTACACAACCATTTTCCTCGAAGGCCTTTCGGAATGCAGATTGGCATGCTTGTACTGTGGTCCACTACTTCAGTGGAGCAGTGAATTCGTCAAGTCCTGGGGCCTGCTAGAACCTGAGTGCGCGCGAAGCGCTCGCGATGGTTATCCATCTCTCTCTCTTCTCATGCTCCACATCCAGATCCTCCATCTCCATTCGGATTCAACTCTTGAGAGGTGAACTTCAGCATCGGCGCTGGTATATTCGGCGTCGAACACTGGCCTAATCCGGCATAGCCCCGCTCAATCCCGCATCTGGCTCGATCCCCGACTTCGTCTGGCTCAACCCTGGGCCCAATCTTGCTCAGAGAACCTCTCATCGGGCCCAGTAGTCCTCTGATCGTTCGGACGGGGCCAGAACGAAGATACATCCTTTCCGGAGCCTTCCAGAACGCTCCCAGAGCGCTCCAGGAGGCTCCGAGAGGACCGCAGCTGCTGGATCCCAGAGACTCTCGACTCATACTCGCCCAACTTTGCCCTCGTCCTGGCTTCGCGTCTTAGCTCCCATTCTCCCATTCTCGCGCCGGGAGGAGGAGGAGGGGGAGGAGGAGGAGGAGGAGGAGGAGGAGGAGGAGGAGGAGGAGGAGGAGGAGGAGGAGGAGGGAGGAGGAGGAGGGGGAGGAGGGGAGGAGGAGGAGGAGGAGGAGGAGCAGGGAGGAGGGGGGAGGGAGGAGGGGAGGAGGAGGAGGAGGAGGGAGGAGGAGGAGGAGGAGGAGGAGGGAGGAGGAGGAGGAGGAGGAGGAGGAGGAGGAGGAGGAGGAGGAGGGGGAGGAGGAGGAGGAGGCTGGAGAAGCCAAGCGGCCCCACCTCCCCTTCTCGCGCCAGCCCTCCTCGCCGCGCCCTCCTCGCCGCGAGCCCGCCGCGCCCGCCGAGCCCCGCCACGCCCATGGGAGCGGCCCCACCCGCGAGAAAACGTGTTCGCGGTCCTCCTCCTCCCCTCCTACCTCTCCTCCTCCTCCTCCCCCTCCTCCGCCTCCTCCTCCACCTCCTCGTCGCCCCTCCTCCTCTCCTCCTTCCTCCTCCTCCTCCTCCTCCTCCCTCCTCCCCTCCTCCCCCTCCCCCTCCCCCTCCCCCCCCCTCCTCCTCGTCCTCCTCCTCTCCTCCTCCTCCTCCTCTTCCTCCTCCTCCTCCTCCTGGCGCGGGCGAGCCGCGCGCCTCGCAGCTGGCCGCGAGGTTCGGAGGCAGCTCCTGGGAGGTCGGATTATGTTTGTGCCCGGGGCCAGAGTCCGGCGTACAGTCGGGGCCCTGAAGAAGGAACCCTCTTCGTTGGGGAGGGGCTCCGCGTTCCTGGAGTGTTTCGCAGCTTGCCTCAGGTTTTCCTTATGTTTTCGATCGGAAATCGAAGTTAAACTTGTGGAAAAAAAGGGGTCTCTTTCCTTATTTTGGGTTCCTTAGGTCAAGGCCCCGACTGTAATCCCGCTTCATCCGGCTCCATCCCGCTCAGTCCCGCTTCACCCGGTTTCATCCGAGGCCCACTCCGGCATAGCAGCCCCCCAATGGGGCTTAAGCCTCTTTCATCTTTCCGGCGAGCACCTCCCAGTAGTTGCCTCCCAATCGAGGAGCCGAGCCGACACCGCAGTCGGCACTGCTGGCAAGGAGGATCGGCGATTCTCCGAGGTTGCCTCGGCATCCCCTCCCCTCGGCCCATGCTTGACAGCTTTCGCCGGCCGCGCCCCACTGCGCAACCTGACTAGCAGTGTTGGCTGTACGATCACTCCCCTGGTCCGACCCGATCCAGTCCAGCCCTTGTCCTCTTCCCTCTCGTCGCCGTCCTTCTGCCGTCTAAGAAGAGAACATGACACGAACATCAATTTTCGACAATCCGCGCAGATTTTTCGGATTTGCGCTGGAAACCCCTGGCGGCGCCTCCGGCGCCGCGCCTGGCGCGCTCCGCGCGCCAGCAAGGGGTGTCAGCGCCAATCCAAGAGATCCGCGCACAGCTCCAAAAGTTGATATTTATGCAGTTGTTTCGTCCTCTACTTGAGGGGGGTGATGACTGGGGGCGTGGGTCTCATGGCTCTGGCCATGATGGCCCTGGATTCCATGGCCCCCTGTTCTTCTTTCAGTGCGTCCCCTGGTCCCCCCCTCGTCCGCGCACATGCTTCTGGCGATGATTTGCGAACCCCTCTTGGACGCCTCCCTCTTGGATGTTGTAGATTGCTGGTGAGGCTTTGGGTTGCGCACAGGGCCCCCCGAGTAGCCCTGGGCGGTCTCAACGCTCCCTGCGCCGCCTCGGGCGGCGCCCCTGGGGCGCTACGCGTTCCAGGGTCGGTTGAGCCAGCCCTGGGCTACTCGGGGGCCCGGTTGAGGCCGGGCTACCTGGGCAGGGCTGTCTGGGCGCAAGCCGACGCCGTACCAGTCGTCCTTTTTCCTCTCGGGTCCCGAGGGGGGGAGGGGCACGGCTTGACGCGGCTCGAGGAGTTGATCAGGGCATTGCTCCGGGCGACTGCGTGCCGATTCTGAGCGACCTCTGGCTGGCAGGAGGCTGGAGGAGGGAGGCGTCGTCGTCCTCCCCCCTTCACCCGCGGGGAGGACTGGAAGAAGAACACCCTGGAGATCATGACTGTGCTCAGAAAAGAGCACAGGAATGTTCGCAAGAAGGTGCAGCCTCCTGGCGAAGGCCCGCGCGGCATCCTCTCGGCATCATCCAAGCATACTATTGTGTGTGTGTGCGTCTGCACTCCAGGGGCGACACGCATGCCGAGACGTTTTACAGTATGTGCTCACTGGCGAGTGCTTTTGGGCCGTGCAGCCTGGGTGCTGATACACTCCAACATGTTTGTACGATGTGCTCGGAACGCACGTGACTAGTGGCCAGTATTTCCCTCTGCGCTCCATTTTTCTGATGTTTCTTCCCCTGCCCTGGAACAATACACAGGCCAGTCCAAAGCTGCGCGCGTACCCTGTTGACACTGCGCGTGGACATCACCGCGCGTGCGCGCAATGCTCCATGCTTCCTTAGTGCTGAATGCTCAGTGCGCGCTGTGCATTTCCTCCCCCCTTTCCCTCCCCCCTTTCCTCTTTCCCCATCTCCCCCCCCCCCCCTTCCCCCCCTTGCCCCCCCTTGTCCCCCCCCCTTTGCCCCCTCTTCTCCCCCATCCCCCCCTTTCCCCCCCCTCACCTCCACTTCCCCCCCCTTCCGGACCTTTCCCCCCCCCCCGTTCCCCCCTCCCCCCTCCCTATACCGCCTTCCTCTCCCTCCCCCCCTCCCTGCCACCTCCCCCCTTCCCCCCCTCCCTCCTCCCTTCCCTGGTTGCCCCTGCCCCTCATCCCCCCTCCCTCCCATCTCTCCTCCTCCCGCTTCTCGTCCTCTTCCTCCTCCACCCCCATCCTCCTCCCCCTCTTCCGCCCAAACAATGCTTGCTGCATGCCAGGATCTTAGAGCGACTCTCCATCTTGATCAGGTCGATCGGAACATGTGGAAGGAGCAAGCACTCTGCGGGGACGGGTCAGCGCCTTGAAACCTCTTTTGACAGGTGTGATAGGTCCGCGTCGTCTCGACCGGTAGCGACCCCGCCACGGGCGCTCAGGTTGAACGCCGCTGGCGACCCAGAGTCGATCGATGTTGAACGTTTTTATTTCTCGGAATCGGCCGATCGTTCAAAGTTGTGCGACCCCCGCGGCGTCATACACCAACGCCGAAGCAGGTACGACACGAGCCTGTCGTGATGATGGCATTCTCAGCTTGCCTCGAGCTGCAGCCTCCCCCCCTCCTGCCCCCCATCCTCCTCGCCTCCGCCTCGAGCCCGCAGGCGGCGGCGACTTCCCGGGGAGGTCCAAGTCCCTACCGATCTCGCTAGCGGACCACGTCGAGCCAGGCCACCCGCGGCCCAGGACTCTCCCCTCCCCCCCGACCTCCTCCCGACCTCCTGGCGCTACGCGGAAATCACGACGGCGGAGCTGGGACGCCCTCGTGCACGCGGGGGTGGCTGCACACCGTGTCCCTCTTCTTACCCTCCTCCTCCTCCTCCTCCTCCTCCTCCTCCTGTCCGCCTGTCCGCCTGTCCTCCCGTCCTCCTCCTCCTGCTCCTGCTCCCTCCTCTTCCCGTCCTCCTCCTCCTGCTTCTTCTCCTGCTCCTCCTCCTCCGCCCTCCTCCCTCCTGTCGTGTCGTCGTCGTCGTCGTCGTCGTCGTCGTCGTCGTCTTCTCTCTGAGGACCTGGGGCTCCTCGCGTGCGGGCCTCGCCACCGGCAGAACTCAGAGTCGGAGTCAGCGTCCCTCCCTCGTCCCTCTCCTCCTCCGCCTCTCCTCTTTCCCTCCTCCCTCCCCCCTCCTCCTCCTTTCTTCGGGGAGCCCAACGGGTCAAGGGCCCCGATCTTTCAATTTCGGAGGTTAGGCTGGTGGTGGTGTAAGTGGTGGATCCTCGTGAGGTCCAATGCGCCACCCGCCGGTCCTTCCTCTAAGGACGAGCACGCAAGACAGCGAAGCCGAGCGTCGCATCATCATCACCTCCTCCCTCCTTCTTCGGCACTTGTGCCACTGGGCCCCCTTCCCGGGTAAACAGGCGGACTGCAGCAGGGCTCGACCTAAACGGTGTTTTGGTGATTCCGTTGTCCGTTCCCGTTTCGATGTCGTTTTGCAGCGAAGGCGGATTGAAGACAAAACGACGGAAAAAGAGATCGACACGAAAACGATCAACAGTGTTTAGGTCGATGTCTGGATTGCAGCCTGATCATCACCCCGCTTGTGCCTGTCCGAGGGTCGTGGGCGATCACGATGTCCAGCGGGAGCGGACGGGGCAGAGACTCTTGCGCATCGTCGAAGACTTGTTTTTGCCCACCCGCCCTCTCCACTCGGGCCGGACGAAAGGGGGGATAGGGAAAGGGGGGGTACGAAATTTGCGGTATGCAGCTGGTCTCGGCCCCACCGAGGGGCCCCTTCCTCGATGCATGGCCGCCTCCGGCGCCGGGAGGCGCCGGGAAAGTCGGCCACGTGAGCGGATTCTCAAACCCCCCCTCCCCCCCTGTTGCTATCCCCCCCCTCCCTTCGCCCAGCCCGATCCACGGCCAGGGCACCCTATGCACTGGGGCGTGTGCGCGGGGGTGGGCGGGTCGCCCGGTGGGCGGTCCCGCGGGGCACCCTTTTTGCACGTGCTCCCCGCGGCCAGGAGTCTCCCCGCCCGGGAGCGCGTGGGGGCGAGGGACCTGGGCACGTGAAAGCAAGCATGTCACTTGAGAGATCCTCTGAATTCAGGTCCCCAGGAGAGGCACAAAACAAGCGTTTCGCTCGAGACATGCTCGACAAATTCTGAACAACAAGCGTTTTGCTCGAGACATCCTCAACTTTTGTAGGGCCGGGCCTTCTCGGAGGGCTCGGGAGTCCCCCCGGCCTGCCGAGAGGCACCCTCTGCGCCCTCCCTGGCGCCACAGGGAGCTCGAGTGGCGCGAGGGCTCTGAGAGCAGGGCTGGGCCCGAACGGTGTTTTGGCGATCTCGTGGGCCGTTTTCGTTTCGGCTTCGTTATGCGGTAGAGGTGGATCGAAGACAGAACGAGGGAGACCGAAAGCAAGACGAAAACGAAGACACCGTTCAGGTTCGGCCCTGTTTGAGAGTTCCCGCCGCCTTCTGAGGAGGCCTTCTCCCCCTCGCTTTCCCCCTCTCGCTCGCCGCTCCGAGAGGTCACGCCGGGGGAGGGATGCCCCTCGGGCTGCTTCTCGGGGCGCCACGACCGCGGTGGCGTGTCCTTATCTGACGCTGGGCGAAGCTCGGAAAGGCGGGGCCAGTGGCGCCATGTCGTCTGATCGTGGCACGTTGAGTGCGTCGCCCTTGTGGGGTCGGGGAAGCGCAAGACTCGAGCGCGTCCTGGATCTTTACGGTCCAGTTTTCGTGGGATGTTTGCAGAGCGCGTCAAATTTCATGATGGGTCTCGTCGTTTTCATGATGGCCCCCTCAGGCCAGCCCGAGTCCCTGGAACCCGAGTCTTACGTTACGTCTACCCGATAGGATGGAAGGCAGTCTTGTTCTCTCGTGCTCGGACCTCTCCTCGCGCCGTGTCTTGTTTGTCAGACTGGGCGTTGACTTCCTCTGCCCGCTGCCACGCTGATCCCAGCCTCGCTTCGTGTCGTCGATCCCCCAGTGAGGAGCCGCGTTCCCGCCGTCTGCGGCTGCTCCTTCCCGGCGTTGCCAATGGAATTATTTTACATGTGACTTCTGTGAACACTTGCTTTCTGATCCGCGTGCCCGAACCTGCTCATTCAATTCGGGGCCCTCCTTCTCCGCCTCTGCTGCGACACGGAGTGAGTTTCTCCGCGTGTGGCGTTGCCCAGCCGTTGCCTCCATCAGGGAGGAGACGGTTGATCAGAGTTTTATTGACGAAACCGCTACCGCGGATCTCTCCGACCTCGAGGTGGTTTTGCTTTTCTCTAGGGGCCTGTTTCCTCATCCTGGGGACGTGTTTCCTCGGCCGTCCATGGAAGGCGACGAAGGCTTTCAGGCTGTGTGTGATTGGGCTGAGCCCCTCCAGGACAGTGGCGCGATCTCGGGCCAGATTTTCTTGGACGGCATTTGCTTCCGTTCCGAGATCGCCGAGTTGCCTCGTGCTGGCTACGGGCTCGTTTCGGTCGGCGTCTCGGGCGATAGGTTGTGCTGCCTCTACGGGCTCGTCCACGCTCCTTCTCTTCAGACCTCGCAGTGTGCTGAATGCGCGGCCCGTGCTCGTGGCGGCATCCAGCTCATGGACTGTGGCGGTCCATCGGCCTCGACTGCTGCGACTGACGGCTTGGGCCGCGGGAGCTCTGCCCGCCAGGATGAGCAGCCGTGCTCGACATTGTTTAGCGATTGTGCGATTGTGATTTTTCGCATGCGCTGGGGATAATGTAAGGCTGCACAAGTAAGCTACAGGCGGCCGTTCGCTGGGCTGATGATGGTGAGTCGTCTCGGAGCGTCGTCCGTCCAGTTGGTCGTCAGAGTCGAAGCTCACGAAGGCCCGCAGGAGGCGGGCATTTCACCCGAGTAGCGTTGGTAGCGCCTCGGGAACGACATGGCCGACAGGGCCGCGAAGCTCGGGGCCGCCCTTCACCGTCGGACGCAGACCTGTCTCCTCTGTTTTGGTGAATCAAGGTCTCCAAGCCAGTATGCAAGTTGGCTGCGAGGCTGCTCCCTCTTTGGCCACCGCTCGACCCGACCGACTGTCCGTATGTTCCGCCACCAGTCTCGCCCGTGCCTCCGACAGAGCCGCACGGATGGTGCGGGGACGTGTGTTTCTTTCTGGCGTTGCCAGCATTGCCTCATCTCGCGTAAATGCTGTTGCCGTGCGCCGCCTGCTGGAGGCTCCAGCGTGGATTTTTCTAAGCTTGACGGCCCTTCGTGCGTTCGGCCATGGTGCTGTGCCGTTGCTCGGAAACTGGAGCATACACATTACCAGTGACGGACGATGTTTGAAGCCCAGGACTTTTTTTAGGGTCGGGGACGACGTCGGGGTGGTGTGGTGTATATTTTTTTCACCGTTTTCCCGAGGAAGCAACAAAACATGTATACACCAGGATGCCGTATACACCATACTCCGTTTTCTTGTGCGAATCTCAGTGCGGGACCGGAAGAAAGCATCGGTGTATGAAGTTCGGTTCTTTAGTTACCTGTTTCGGGTGGCTCCTTCATTGCAGCCTGCTTGCGGTGCCATTCTCATGCGGCGCTGGGGTATGTGCCCTGGCCCAGCAGCGCCGACCGCCGACAGAGAGGGCGACCTGCAAGCTCAATAGTATCAGTCGAGGCCGTCGCCCCACGAGACCCGAGCTCAGCATTGAGCCCGTTCCGTGGCGCTAATTCTGCGCACGTGCCGCCGCACTCCAGCCGTGCGGCCGCCGCTTTGTCCGAGCCGAGGGCCGATCCGTGTGGGGGAGGGGCCATCGTGGGCGCTCCGAGAGGAACTCGCGAGCCCCTTCCCCCCAACGCGGCTCCCGCCGATGCGGTGCTGTCTCATCTCTTTGAGTCTCATTGTTTCCTGCTGGCAGGCTCTCCCTGCCACGCGGCACTGGAGGACGTGAGATGCTGTGTTTCTGACCTCGCGCGTCCTTGGTGCACTTTCCCCGGGTGGAGGCGCCGTCCACCCTGGTGTATGTTTGGCAGTTCGTGTCAAAACATCCTTTTCCCTCGTCCTTCCTTCCTTCCCTCATCACTCCTTCCCCCCCTTCCCTCCTCCTTCCTCCCACCTCCATCTCTCCCTCCTCCCTCCTCTTCCCTCCTCTTCCCTCCTCCTTTCTCCTTCGCCCCTCCTACCTCACCCTCGCCCCCTCCCTCCTCCCACGTCCCTCCTCTTTCGTTCCTCTTGCCTCGTCCCTCTTCCCTCATCTCTCCCTCGTCCTCCTCTTCCTTTTGCTGCCTTTTTCCTCCTCTTCCTCCTCTTGCCCCTCCCTCGTCCCTCCGTCCTCCTCCTCCGTCCTCCTCGTCTTTCCAAAGTCCGGGGCAGCGCCTGGGTGGGTCCCCACCCGGGTCACACAGTGGGGCCCCCAGGCATTGGGTTATGGACTTGGGTCTCTCGTTGGTCACCGCCTGGACCAGGCCTATTCAATGCTTGGCCTGGTGGCGCCCCTATTTTTTCATGATGCAAGTATGGATTCCTTCCATTTTCTTCCAGCAGCGCCTTTTGGAGCTCGACGGCTTATGTGCTGGCCAGAGCTGATGTAGTCCGCGGAAGAGGCCCGTATTGGGCCGACGGCAGGTTATTGGGCTCGCTCGGCGTCCGCGGCCGTCGCGGCACCGGGGCGGTCAAAAACGGTTCAGGACGAAAAGCCGATCGGTCCCAGAAAAAAGAGTCTAGACCCCAGGGGGGACGGCAAGAATACGGGTTGCGCACACAGCCCCCCCCCAGGTAGTCCCAGCTGGCCCCAATAGGCCCTCCGAGTACCCCAGGCTGGCCCCCAGAGACATTCCGAGTAGTCAGGGGCGGTTTCACCACCTTGGCGTTGTTTTCGGCGACGCCTTCGCGGCGCTTCGCGCCCGAAGGTTAGGATGTTGAGATTATCCTCGGCTGCTCGGGGGGCGGCCAGCCAGGAGTGCCTGGGGGCGCTGCCCATGCGCAGCCCGAAGCCTTACAAGGGGGGGTAGCGATGTGGACAGTGTGACGTCGGGGGTTTTGGGGAAGGGGTCGGATTTCGGATTTCTTGGGCCTCCTGAAGGCTTCCTCCTCTCTGCGGCCGGTCCCCTTTCGAGGTACTGGCTGGGAGGAGGAGGAGGAGGAGGAGGAGGAGGAGGAGGAGGAGGAGGAGGAGGAGGAGGAGGAGGAGGAGGAGGAAGAGGAGGAGGAGGAGGAGGAGGAGGGAGGAGGGAGGAGGGACGAGGGAGGAGGAGGAGGAGGTGGTGGCGGAGGAGGAGGAGGAGGAGGAGGAGGAGAATGAGGAGTATGGAATTGGAGGAGGCGGAACAGAAAGGGGAGGATATTGAGAAGAGGGGGAATCATGATCATCATAGTGATACATAGATGGAGGAGCGTGAGGAGGATCAGGAGGAGGAACATGGGTAAAGAAGAGGTGTGGGATGGGGCGTAGGCTGTTCATGCTCAATAGGGACAGCCGAACCCCTCCCTTGGGAACTGGTCATGTCTTCCATGGTGGCCACACCCCTCCAGAGGGCAATGAACAACAGAAACCAACTACTTCAGCAGACCATGCTTACATCAAATTCAGCCCCATGACTCAGCAACGTTCTGACTGTTTCTTTTGGCCCTGGAACGGTCTGTTCGATTACACGTTCTTCCCCCCAGAACTTGGCCCCTGAGATGAGCGGAGACACAGACACCATGGCACCTCTGCCTGCCCTCCATTGGAGGACGCCAGCTACTCCCCAGGACACCCTTGCATCCTTGCCTCCTCGGTCCATCCTTCGCCACTTTCGTTGACCGCGCCCCGCTCGAACAGCTTCGAACTGGGCGTCCAGGGCCCTTGCACCCTTGTCGCGCATCCTTACTACACAGGTTGACTGTATCCACCCCAACCCAAGCCTGGTTCTTTCAGGGCCAATCCATGGTCCACGATCGGCGTGTACCCCGTGCGGGCTGGGCCAGGCGTGCGCGTCCGCCAGTCCTGGGCACAGGAGTGGCCCTGCCAGGACGGACGCCGGCAGACCGGTGGCGCACTCTTGCTCCAGACTGCCCTCGGACCACCTGCCGGCCTCCGGGAGGGCGACGAGGGGGTCGTCGCAGAAGGGGGCGGTTTGGTGGCGCCCAGGGCTGAGGATACCAGCGCGTGGGCAGGAGTCGACGACGACATCGACGGTGACGGCGGCGACGGCGGTGGCAGTGGCAGCGGTGACGCCGATAGCGATGACGAAGGCACGTTTGGGGAGGAGGAGGAGGAGCAGGAGGAGGAGGAGGCGGAGGAGGAGGAGGCGGCGGAAGAGGAGGAGGAGGAGGAGGAGAAGGAGGAGGAGGAGGAGGAGGCGGAGGAGGAGGAGGAGGAGGAGAAAGAGGAGGACGAAAAGGCTGAGCAGGTGGAGGTGAAGCAGGGAGCGGGGGAGCGGGGGGAGGGATTGCTTGGCAGGGGGAGGGCCTTGCTTGTCTGGCGAGTGGACGCCCCATACTCCTGGCTTGCCCTTGTTGGGCATGCGAGGCTGGCCTTTCGTGAGTCTAGCGTGACATTACTCAGCGAGCGAAGAACGGTGTAAAATATTGTTTCGCCGTCGGGGACACCTGCCCCTTGGGCGGCTGGAAAGTTTACACCCCTACGGTGCCACCGTAAGGGTATAAACTTTACAGCCGCCCTGGGGCAGGTGTCCCCGACGGCGAAAAACGTTTATCTTATACCGTTCTTCGCCCGTGAAATTTCTGCTGCTGGCTCTCTGCGCTCTCTCAGTGGATACGGCGGCGCCCGCTGAGGTGCGGCCGTATTTGCCCGGATGTCCATGAACAGGGTCCAGCTGCTCACCCTAACAGGCTGCGCGTGAGGCTCGTGCGTGCAAGCTTTCCCCGTGCGGAGGGGCCACCGAGAATTCGATGAATGATCGAGAAGGCCTGCGCAGTAAAGCTGGCGCAGGCGATCTTTCCCGACCCCTCCCACCTCATCCTGGCCCTCTGTCTCATCCCTTTTCTCTCTTGCTCCTCCCTCCCTGCCTCCTCCCTTCGGCACCCCTCTCTCCCTTCCCCTCCACCCTCTCCCGGTCTCCTGAGGTCCCGAGAGGTCTCCGGGGGCCTTCACAGATGGCCAGGAGCGACACGAGAGTTCGATCCTTCCCCTCCGCGATCGCGGCCCTCCCGCCCCATGTTCTGCCAACTTGCTGCAGAGGCGACGGCCCCCTGGGTCTGCTCGCCAAGAATCCCAAGAAGGTGAAGGCCGGGTGCTGGTCTCTCCGCCCCTGGAAGGAGGGTGGAGGAATAGGTTGTTCTCATACTTTCCTCCTCCTCGCTCCTTCCCCTCTCGTCCTCCCTGTGCTCTCCTCCTCCTCCTCCTCCTCCTCCTCCTCCTCCTTTCCTTCCTCCCGCCGTCCGCCCTCTGCCATCCTCATCTTCAGCCGACGTCCTCTTGTCCTCGCTCTCCTCGAGGAGGGCGGGGAGGACCACATGAGGAGCTTGAGGGTTGATGAGGATGAGGCGGGGAACGATGAGGAGGATGAGGACTCAGGAGGAGCAGGATGATGGTGATGGTGATGGTGGTGGTGATGGTGATGGTGCTAGTGATAATGAGGAGGATGAACAGGAATAGGAGTAGGAGTAGGAGTAGGAGTAGGAGTCAAGCTAGCCAGCTCGAGCGAGTCAAGCATGGCATGCCCATTCCCACCCGCCCTCCCACAACATAAGAAGCAAAGCTGGCACAACTGGGGGCCGAAGTCACACCGGCCAGCCGGTTTGGTACAGCTGATGCGGCCGCGATGGCGGTTGCCGACGGGAACTGGCGAGCGCGTGTTGAATGCCGCGCACGCATTGCCAGACGAGTCGAGAATGGCCCGGTACACCGCAGGAAGCCAGAGGTGGCCGGAGGAAGCCCGACGGTCTGACAGGACACCCCATGCGCCCATACGATTCATGGGATTGCATTAGGAGGCGTCCAGAAGGCCCCAACTTGTATTGTTTTTTTTATAACGGGGGGGTTTGGATGGGCGGGCGCGGGGTGTGCGCCGCATCCCATTCCTGCCAAGCATTTTGCGACGTGGACGACAGGACGTCCATGCTGAGAGGAAAAACGTTGGTGCGCGGCGCCGAGGCGAGAGCGACATGTCACCCCTTCGCGCGGGGTGTGCGCCGCGTCCCATTCCTGCCACGCATTTTGCGACGTGACGACAGCACGACCATGTTGACAAGAAAAACAAAAACTGTGTATTGTCTTTTGCAGATTAGAATGGGACGGATTGGATGGGCGGGCGCGGGGTGTGCGCCGCGTCCCATTCCTGCCATGCATTTTGCGACGTGGACGACAGGACGTCCATGCGACGGTGCCAATGACGGCGACGACTCTAGAAGGATTTGAGCATGCGCTCGCGGCGACGCGCGCGCATGTCGCCCGCGTGGTATTTTTTGCACAGGATTCGCGGCCTGGGTGCATGACAGAGCATCGCGAGTGCACCGCGCGATGACGTGAAATCGCTGGATTTGACCGAATTCTTAAGATTCCTATGGTTTTCCTATGATTTCAGCAAGAGAGCCCGGGCAGGAAATTTGTAGAATTTTTGTGAAAAAACATTGGGTTTTTGATGTTTTTATGTTGAAATGCTTGCAAACACACGGTGTTCGGTAGGATTCTGACATGAACGCGCGCGTGTGCTCTTTGTAGTATTTTTTGCAATGGATTATCGCCGTGGACGACAGGACGTCCATGTCGAGAGAAAAAAATAAGAAAAATGTTAATTTTGTATTGTTTTTTACAGGTTAGGATGGGACCACCCGGATGGGGCCCCTATCTGCCGGCCTGAGGGGGGAGTAGGAGTATATTCTAATAAGGAATAAGGAGTAGTAGTAGTAGTAGTAGTAGTAGTAGTAGTAGTAGTAGTAGTAGTAGTAGTAGTAGTAGTAGTAGTAGTAGTAGTAGTAGTAGTAGTAGTAGTAGTAGTAGTAGTAGTAGTAGTAGTAGTAGTAGTAGTAGTAGTAGTAGTAGTAGTAGTAGTAGTAGTAGTAGTAGTAGTCGTAGTAGTAGTAGCAGTAGTAGTAGTAGTAGTAGTAGTAGTAGTAGTAGTAGTAGTAGTAGTAGTAGTAGTAGTAGTAGTAGTAGTAGTAGTAGTAGTAGTAGTAGTAGTAGTAGTAGTAGTAGTAGTAGTAGTCGTAGTAGTAGTAGTAGTAGTAGTAGTAGTAGTAGTAGTAGTAGTAGTAGTAGTAGTAGTAGTAGTAGTAGTAGTAGTAGTAGTAGTAGTAGTAGTAGTAAGTAGTAGTAGTAGTAGTAGTAGTAGTAGTAGTAGTAGTAGTAGTAGTAGTAGTAGTAGTAGTAGTAGTAGTAGTAGTATCATGCCCTACAGCATTCGCACCACTTGCCGCGCTCCGGCGGTGCCCGCGCGCACGTCATACGAGCTCGATTGGGGCATCATGCAGCGCGTGGGCGTGACTTTGGGCTATTTGATCGTGCTGGTGCTCGTGTGGTTTGCGCTCTTCCACTGGGGCATGGTGCGCGAGGTGGAGCGCATGATGAGCACGCCACAGGCAGACTCTTTCGCCCTGCCGGCCGTCGAGTATTCAGCTGAGTCGACGTTCCTCGCCGGCAGCCCGACGCCCAGCAGCACCATCAGCAGCGCCGATGACAATTCTCTCGCTCTGCGCTGTTCACTTGTGGAGTCAGGCGGTTTGTGCGGCGTCAATGTCCATGCGATGCACGCGGATTGGGTCATCTGCTCTCAGCTGGTCGGCACGTGTGCTACTTTCTGGGGAGGTTCCAGGACTGTCACTGTGCACAAGGATTATCTAAGCATTGAGGTTGGTGGCACGCAAGATTTGGCGGGCTGTGTCTCCAAGGCCATCGACATGATCTTGGTTCATGGCATTCAGAAGCACAGCGGCGGCACGTGTATCACGCCTGGTGCACTGACGACCGTCACCACGACCAGCACCACTACGCCCCGTCACACGACCACCTCCACCACGATCGCTGTCACAACTAAGTTGCCTCCGGGTTCGTATAGCCATTGGTGCGAGCGTGAGCGCAAAAAGACCTCAGCCAATCCTGAAGCGCGCTGCAAGCTATACTACTATCACACGGATTGTTGCTCCAGGCTTGAGAGGTGGGAGTGTGCCGGCAGGAGCGCGGGCAACGGACACGACTGGGACACTATCTACTACGCCATTCTAAATATCGTGATGATGGCCATTCCTGCGGGTGCCGCTACGTGTGGCTATTTCAGGATCTTGTGGCATGCCGGCCGCACGGTCGCAGGGCGCAGCGTATTGGCCGCCACTGACGTCGCCCGCGGGGCCATCCTCACAGCGTTGCTGCTGTCTCAGGCAGCGCAAGTCTTGCAAGCAGTCTCTCATGATGCAACGGTGCTCGACTACTCTTACGTGAGCAAAGATCTAGTGGCGAACCTCATCACCTTCCTGGGCGTGGACAGCATTCTCACCGGGATCACGGTGGTGGTGGACTATTTCGGCTGGATCGTGTCAAACCCGGGGGTAGATCCATGCGTTCATTGCTGCCGGGCCACTAGCATCTGCACGCTTCGCACTGCTTATGCTGTGCTTGTGATGCTATCGTGGGCTGAAGTGCTCGTGATGGAGGGGTCGCCCCCTCCTCCAGGGGCGCGGGCGCCCTTGGCAGGGCTGGCCCAAGTTTTGAGCGCCCTGGGCCAGAATTCATTGCATGACTCTACATAGCCAACCAGGCCATGCTGATTGGAGATCGGCCGTTCCAGTTGTTTCACAGCTGACGTGGATGGCCGAGCGTGTTACTTGACTCGCATTTTGTGAATTCATGCGACTGTCGTCACCTGCGTTGCGCTGGGGCTCGCGCCTTTCCAGCATCAAGTAGTAGTAGTAGTAGTAGAAGTAGTAGTAGTAGTAGTCGTAGTAGTAGTAGTAGTAGTAGTAGTAGTAGTAGTAGTAGTCGTAGTAGTAGTCGTAGTAGTAGTAGTAGTAGTAGTAGTAGTAGTAGTAGTAGTAGTAGTAGTAGTAGTAGTAGTAGTAGTAGTAGTCGTAGTCGTAGTCGTAGTCGTAGTCGTAGTAGTAGTAGTCCCCCCGAGGCTCTGGGGAGCTTGTGGGCGGGGGGGCTACTGCTGCCCCCAAACCGCGGGTGACAGACGCCCTTCCTTTTCTCGCGCCCTCATTGTTACGAGCACTCTTCCTTGCCCTGAAGGGGCGTCCTGGGATGGCGGCGGCCGCTGGCGGCGCTGCGGACGCAGGTGCGGGGGCTCGAGTGGCTGGGAGTAACGCCGATGCGGCTCGAGGCGAAGGCGGAGTGCTGGCAGCTGCGGGAGGCAGCGGAGGTGCTGGGGTCGCCCCGTGTGCCTCCGCGGCCGCTCCCGCGTCGGCTGGCGTGAACGCAGCCGACATCCCCGTGGATGGCAACACCGACGTCCACATGCGTGACAGCGAGGGCCAGCCATCTCAGAGGCGGCGCCGCATGACGGGCGGACGCATCACCCGTTGGTGCGTCAGCGCCCAGGCGGCCCGTGGCAAGAAGGCTCACTGCACGCGCTGCATGGGAGGTTTTGAGGCTGGCGAGTGGCGCGTGGCAGGCGTCGTGACACCTCCCGCGGGGTCCCAGGCGCACGCGGGCAGGAAGTGGTTCCACATGGCCTGCGTTGATGGCCCACTACCACCAGCTACGGCGATGGTGGGCTTTACTCAGCTCCCTGAGGGCGACGGGGATCGCCTTGCGGCAGCCCTGGAGGCCCGAGGGGGCCCCATCCTGCCCCTGCTGGAGACAGTCGAAGGCCGGGCCCCCGCCCCTCCCACCCAGGGAGATGGCGCGGCAGGGGGCACTGGGGCAGCCCCGAGGCCCCCTGCCGCCGCCGCGCCAGGAGCGTACGGCCCA